ACACACACACACACACACACACACACACACACACACACACACACACACACATATCTATGTATATATGTATAGTACATATATAGAGTGTCCAGTAAGTTTTGACAAAACGCTCTTGTATAAATAGAGCGGATTAAACTGAATCAAAAAATCCTATTTTGCAATTTTCATAATTTTTTGTTAGTTACCCAATGAGCAGAATGTTTAAAATTATCGTATAAAAAAATTTTTAAATATCTTTGAGTTTTTTAAAAAAAATCTTTAAAATATTTTATAAAAAACTCTGAAAAAAATCTTAAAGTTGTTTTATACGTCAATTTCATTCTCTTATTCAACAATCTAGAAATTAATATCACGTTTATTTTTGCGAAAATTGCAAAAGACTTTTCGACTCAATTTAGTCCGCTTTATCTGCATATGAGCGCTTTGTCAAAACTTATCAGATCCTGATCCGCGCGCGCGTGCGTGCGTGCGTGCGTGCGTGCGTGCGTGCGTGCGCGCGCGCGTGTGTGTGTGTGTGTGTGTGTGTGTGTGTGTGTGTGTGTGTGTGTAAGGATATATAAAAAGGAGCGCGTAGATCATAGAATTCCGAGAACTAGACAAAGTACTTCGTGTTCACATTGCATTAAATAAGGCACTTCGTTACGCTCACATAGAAGAGCGTTTTCTGCACGATCTTCCACAAGTACTTCGTGAACACGCGATTATGAAAGAACATGTACGCACGCTAAATGGAATTTTATATACCACTATCAGTACAATTAACATGCTTACCAAGATTAAACTTGCTGCTTAAATGCATTAGGATAAGAAAAATAAACCGTCTTGTGAGTTAAGTACCGTCGTGTAAGTAACGCCCGAATTTGTACCAAGCATTCCTAAACATTAGGTACATTTTATCAACTGGGCAAACGTTGTAAATGACGTTCTGCCAGACTTGCATGGAATATGAAACGGAATGTCGTAGATATCGCGAATAATTACAACGCTTACTCGCTAAGAATGTACATAAATCCGTTAAAAGTAAGTCGTATTGTCGGTAACACGGCGATTCCCGCGTAGCATACGTATTTCCACGCGAATAACAAATTCTTACTCGTTTAATGGAGAAATCGAGGCAAATGTTTTCATTTTTCTTGCATGGAACTCAAGGAAGAGTCTATAAAACGAAACTAGAGATTGATGCAGCAACGCATCAGATCTGGGGATAAAACTGAGCTGGGTAAGGCAAGCCTGGAGCCGCGGTCGGAGCTGGCGCGTGAAACGCCGCTGCCGGTGTATGCCAAGTACGTTTTGCAGCAACGGTACCCGCTGTCGCGTCAGCGGGGAAAGCAGCGTCCCACGTTCGCTTCAGACCCATTATCGCGGCCGGGTTCAAGGTTGGCGCGGTGGGCATGATAGGCGTTAACAGCCCATGTGGCGCCGGTGCCCGCAGAATAGGAATACGGGAATGATGGGGAACGTTAAAGAGCAAAAATGGCGTAGCCGCCGCAGCCGCCGCGGCCGCCGCCGCTGCTGCCGGAGTTGTTGGTGGTGCATGAAGAGCCGCAGCGGCCGCAACAGCAGCTGCTGCAGCTGCCGGGGGTGCTACCGCGTAGGGGAGTTGGGCTGTCTGAACTACTGGATTCGGACCTGGTAAAGCTAGGGATTTGCTCGTAGCGGCGGCGGCAGCGGCAGCGGCGGCGACTGCCGAAGTGGGTGAATGAGTAGTTGAGGTAGGAGACGGATTCGATGCCAAGGCCATCAACCATAGGTCTTGATTCCTGATAGCTTGCGCCTGGGCGGCTTGCGCTTGCGCCACCTGAGCCTGCGCCTGAACGGCCTGAGCGGCTTGGGCCTGTACCAGAGCGTGAATGTCCCACAAGGGTGATGGAGGCGGCGGCGGCTGCGCGGTTGGTACCGGTACCGGCACCGGTGTTGGCGCAGGCGGATGTGTCAAGGTCGCGGGGGACTGTGTGGTCAACGTACCGGGTGATAGTAGTGCCTTGGTCGACGGCGGTGTTACCGCACCTGTCAATACCAGATTCATGTCGTCGCCGCTGCACTGGAATACTTCGATGTATCGCTGCTTCTTGCCATAGATCATGTATCGATGATGCCGCTGTGTCGCGCATGCGTATGCCGATGCCTCGCTGTCCATTTGAATAAATGCCTCGCCAGACGGTTGACCCTGGTGGTTCCACAATTAAAAATTAGAAAAAAAGACGAAATTGTGATTGAAACTATTGTCTGAATTGACAACTATTGTTAATAATATAAACTATTGTTAATACACAAGTTTTACATACTATCATCCAGTCGACTTACATTTTTTACTTATTTTGAAAAAAAAAAAAATTAATCTAACATAGAAATAAAATGAAACGTCATATCACCTAGTTTAAGTATATAATACGTGGGTCGTTTGATAAGTTTGATAAATTTCCATGAAATGGCGCTACAATCCATTTGATGACGCGACATCTCGAAAGATCCACTCTTCGAACCCCTTCAGGCCAAATTTCAGCCAGAAAGGACGCATGGTTCACATTTGGTAATCATTTGAAGTAGGCTGTCTCAAAGTCTGCAAAATACTCATTGATGGCAACAATGACTTTCTCATTTAACGAGAATTTCTTCCCACCGAGCCAAGTTTTTGGGAACAGAAAGAAGTCACATGGGGCCAAATCCGGAGAATAGGATGGATGAGGAATCAATTCATAATCCAATTCGTAGTTTTGTCATTGCAACGGTCGACTTGTGGGACGACGCGTTGTCTTGATGGAAGAGCACTTTTTTGCGCGCCAATCTCGCTTCAAATGACTACCAAACGTGAACCATGCGTCCTTTCTGGTTGAAATATGTTTTGAAGGGGTTCGAAGAGTGGATCTTTCGAGATGTCGTGTCAAATGGATTGTAATGCCATTTCATGGAAATTTATCAAATGACCCATGTACATTTATTTTTAGCAGAATTTAACAGAATTATTTTAACAGAATTGATATAGAATTGAGACTATCAAAATCTAAAATTTAAATAATTAAATGGTATAATATTTCTTGCGCTTCCTATATGTTTAACCGATGCATTTACCTGAGCATTGTATACCATATGAACACCCTGATAGACGATATTTTTAGAATGTTCTCCCATAAATTCCAAAATGTGTTCGACAAGTGCTTCATACGGCAAACCACGAAGTCTCACACAATCTTTGCGCGTACCGGACGTTATGATATGTTGAGGAAGTAAGGGTGGAAGTTGCGCGATAGGTGGTGGTGGTAAAATTACTTGTTTCGGATCTGTCGCCCTATTTAGGACCTATATATAACAACATCAAAATTTGAAAAACATACAACATGTTTCTTCATAAGTTTTACGCTCAAATTTACCTGTTGCACTTCCGCGGTTGTACTTCGAAAAAGTTCTATGTAACGGCTGCCGATACAGTCTCTGTGCTTGCTCAAGGCTTTCACCGCATCCTCTTCTTTCGCAAATAATACGAAGGCGTCACCTGTTGCTCTACCGTCTGGCTTCTTTACAAATAGCACACCATCCTCACCATCCAACACTTGGCATGGTTTTTGTCCAGATTGAAAAAATTCCAGCTAAGAGAACATTACTGATAATATATACAATGACAAAACAATGGACGATATACAATCGAAAAGCTGTCTAGTTATCGTATACACAAGTAGGATTTTAGTTCATTAAATGATTATGTACCACTTGTTTAGCAACACAATCGTAGGGCAAGCCCCTCATTCTAACGATGACTTGAGCCCCGCGTGACAGAAAAGCGTGTGCTTCCCCGCTTGTACCACCAGCAACGCCAACAAAATCCTCTCCGGAGGCCTTGTAAACCTCTATGTATCGTGTACCCATATGATGTTTATGCCGCTTCAGCGCCATATCTCTGTGTTCTTTATTAATAAACCGTACCAATGCCTCGCCGTTACGCCTTCCCATAGGACTTAAACAAAGAGCTACACCACCCCTAAAAAAGTTATTACATCATTGTTAGCGTATATCATTAAACAGTGACCAGTGAACAGTGATCTTCTATTTGTAATTAAAGAATTCGTAGATATAATGATTATTAACTCTTCATCGGCAGTATGAAATTTTGCACATTCTTCAAAAATCTTGCAGCAATTTGTTTTTAATGCTGCAGATTTTTATACTATTTTGAACTGTACAAAAATCTGAAAAAATTGTTGCATACTTGTAAAAGTTTTAACAAATTACTATCGTAGAAGTCAGATTGCATTTTACTTATTTTTTACAGATTTATAATAAATTTATCTATCAGCATTCACAATCGAAAAATTGATTCTGCCTTTAAAGTCCAACTTAGCCGACGAAGAATTAAGGACACTCTACAAGAAATATAATGTTCAGAATTAAATCCATACAAGATCCACATACAAGATCCACAATTCCAAATATAATGCTCCATCACTATTATATATACAACAACTAATAAGCGAGCAGAAAAGTTTCCTCACACACACACACACACACACACACACACACACACACACACACACTGAAGAAAAAAAAATATATATATTATATATCTTGCACTTATGTGTTATGTCACAGAGGAGAAACTAGAATGACAGATCCTGTGCATCTAAGTGCGTTATAGAAATATATGGCTATCTCAGTTACCTGCTTCACATAGATCCACGTGGCTTGTGCATAAATATCAAGATAGAAAAATTAACTTATTTTACTCAAAATTCCTAATAGTCCTATGATTGATTTTACTTTATGTATTTCAAAGAGATCACTTACTTTGCGACATTTAGCCCACGAAAAAACTTGGCAATGTCTTGATCTGAAGATTGCCAAGGAAGACCGCGCGCTCTTACTACGCAATCATTGTCCACCTCCTCATCCTTAGAACTGAAAAGAAATTTCTATTTTATTATTCAGATAAACAAATAAACATACAAACTGTATATAGAAATTATAAACTTACCATATACCAGGTTCTAGGATAATGTTAACTACTTCTGGATTTTTGAAAATGTGACCTGAAAGTCAACAAGTATAATTACATATAACACAAATAGTAATACTATATCAATATTATAATTTCCTACTCAACAATGTATGTTTAGAGAGTATTAAAAATTAAATATTCATTAACATTAAAGGCACACTAAATTAATGTAGCAGCATGAATAAAATATCTCTTTCACCCATGTGTCTAAATGTAAAACGAATAAATTCGGGAATTGGAAGAGAAAAGGAAAAAAGTAGAACAATCGGGACAAACCAGACGTAAGAAGTGCATACGCGCGCGCACAGAAATCCCATGATTAACCTCGGAAATCGATAAAGCATTCCTTGTCGATCGATTTAGAGTCGAGCCCATTCGCGAAGAGGCAATCTTTCGGGTAGTACTTCGATGAACAGTATGAATATTCGTCGAAATTAGGAACGTACTTACGTACAGCGAGACATATTTACTGTGGAAAAGCATGTGGGATATATACAATACGTCACGCGTAAACATCACGAAGCCGACAAGGCGTCCATACTGTATACCATATTTGTAAACGTATACTATCGGCGTATACATCAACGTAAAATACCGGCTACAGCTACACTTATACTCAACAACGTTACACAGCACTCACAGCTGCTCATATCGTAAGCACACGTGTGCTCGCTTCGCTTATACTAGACTAGTTAGAGATCTATTAGAGGATCTCTAGCTTATACCTGCACTTTCTGTACTCTCTTTTCCTTTCTTTTCATCTTTCTCATTCTACGCCGCCCATTGGATGGCGTCCAGTAAAATTGTTGAGTGTGATAAAAAAACATGGAAAGAAAATATGACTAACACAACACGCCTCACGTGGAATATCATGAAATCTTCAGATTGTACATGTTCTCGAGGATTCTCCTATATTTCTCGTAACTTCCTGGATAATTTGCAATAACTTCTCTGGTAAAAAAAATTCTCACACTTATTAGTGATCAACCCACATTGTGAGGGACGATCCCATATTTTAACAAGTCTTTACAACGCATTCCAAATTTTTTAATGCATATATATTTAATATAATATATGTATATAATAATATATGTATATATGATATATGTATATATGATTGTTTAGGTGTTTCGTTAACAATTATTTTTAAAAATGTTTATCTATTAAAATTTAACCACAACGTTCCCCCCTAATCATAATTATTATATTATGCAATTATAAAATTACAAATACCAAACACTTTTCACAATCAGTGCAAGCTCAGTTCTTGTCAGACTCGTAGTGAATAAATCTTCGACTCAAGGTACGATCAACGCGATGCTGCAAATGCTTTGAAACCTTTTTTAACTCAGTTTGTAAAATTCTGTTTTCTAATTGGTCCATCAAATGCTTCAAAGCATTTGTAGTGAGATTTTGATTGATTACAGCAATGCACAGCCTCAGTGCATTGCTGTAATATCTGAATAAAGCTCTTGAGCTCACAAGAAGACACAGTGTTTCATTTTTCTTAATACTTAAAAATATTACACTCTGCATCTCACACCGTAAAGCCGTAATCGCGTACACTAGCGATTGTGCAATTAGCAATTGACGATTATTTTTCAACCAATCACAGCAAATCAATCACCGATTGCTTTGCTTTAACTGGTTGAAAAACAATCACAATTGTTAATATAATTACACAGCTTATTGTTAATAATTTGTGGGCCACAACTTTGACGAAAATAAGAAAGCTTTATAAAGCGTTGACAACCGTTCAATGATGATTTTTTGAGAGTTTATAGGAGAGTTTAAACTTTATAAAAACGTTTACACAACACCAATGTGGTGGGTTTTTAAAACACTTTCAGAACACTTATAAAATACAGTATATATCATTTCATGAAAGTTCTGTAATGCTCACCCAGTACAAAGCGATTAAGTTCCCAGGGAGTTCATATTACTGAACTTCCGGGGAGCTTACAAAATTCGACTAAATAAGCTCTCAGCTCAGTTGACAAATTAAAAATAACATAACGTCACCATATGTTATATTACATTTATACTGTAAAGTACGAAATTATAATATTTAGATTATATTACTTTCAGTTTGTGTCGACTGGGATAGAGTTCATTTTAATGAGTTCTCGGGGAGCTTAAAAAGAATTCCCTGCGAATCAAAATAAAGCTCCCAGAAACTCTCAAAAACGGACATAGGAATTCCCGGGGAGTTCTTTTTGAAGCTTAAATGAAGCTACAAAAATTTTATGAACTCCTGGGAAGCTCCAAGGAAGCTCCCTATGCTATATTGGTAGTAAACGCTGATGCACCTTCGTGCAGAGAGTTCACTGTCAAACTTGGAGATGCCCAAAAAGCACTTTTCTCAATTCCAAAATGTTTTCCAAACACTGAAGCAATTTTGGATTTCCACTTACGGAGAACACTCTACTGAGCATTTCTACTCTCAATGAATTTCTCCAAACATTCGGTTCATTTAAGTGTCCAAAAAAACATTACATAAAACTTCTTATTTTTGTCAGGGAATATCGCGTATAAAATATAGAGCGAGGCAAGTTGAACAAATACAAATATCTAAATTACTAAAATAAATATATATATGAATGTCTATCCTTGCATAAGGTACGACAAAGACATGCTGCGCTCAACGCAACAATCAAATCAACAATGCCCAGTCAACAGCCAAACACATACACTTTTTCATTTTTATGCATCAAGAGTAAAATTATTAGATGAGTATTCTTTTTGGTTCAAGTGATAATTGAAGCGATTAATAAAAACCAGTGTTTTTTTAAATATAAGTTATCAGAGTAATTTTAATATTCAAATTGCTATTTTATTTTTTTAGTTATAAAAGAATCAGTCAACCAATCATATGAAGCTTGTTGGACCAAATATGAAATTTCCCATTAACCTTATAAATTGTCAAGCTGCTTAAATGAAATCTGTGTTTGTCATAATTTTTATTCTATGTTAATGATAAAACATATATTTTATATTTAATTATTACAAACAATAAAGTTTTTAATTTTTCTAATGTTATAAATTAAAATATTTAAAGAAAGTATATGTATTATAAATTATTATATTTAAGAAATTAATAAAAATTTAATTAATACACATAATACTTTCATATTTTTAATACTATACAACCTTATTAAACGGTTATCTTCGTGGCTCAACTTATCCCTCGAGAATGTTCAACTTGCCCCATGTATGGGGTATATTATATCATTACTGAGATCCGATAATCTGGATCCAGTGCAGTAATCATGGTGGAAGAGATAACATGGTATGTACGATTTGCAAGCATTTCTGAATCTCTGCCGTCTCTGTCTACGAATGTCGATAAGAGACTAAGGCTGCCAACTGTAAAACGCTAAATATATTCATGGAGGCGATATTCATGTAGCGTTTTCGGCCTGACTGAGTTTGCGCTAACCTGATTGAAGTAATGATGTTTCGTGCTCTCCTATTGATAGAGCGTGTAACATTAATAGCGAAATATTTTCTAACCCAAGTTGGTGCAAACTCGGTCGGACCGAAAACGCTAATAATCCGTTTTTATTTTAAAACCGTCTTAAATAATATCTTAAGATACTAATACTGTACTTAAGACAGTTTTAAATGTAAGAATCAACTGCTTCGCAGGTTTTTCAAAAAAAATACACTTTAGATTTCTTTTTTTACAGAAAAAGAAACATAAAGTATGTTAAACAAAGAAATCAATTTTACGACGCGAAACAGGTTAGTATTTATAGTCGATTCTTGCATTTAAGACTTAAGTACAGTCTTAAGATGTCATAAGTCAATCCGAGGACTGTATTAGCATCTTAAGACATTATTTGTGGAGGAGATTCAGAGAGAGATGCTTGCCAATTGCACACATGGGTGCAATTCACCAAATTGCATAAAGGAGTGTCCTGGGTGAAAGCACACGGTGCGGAATAGGGAATAGAGAATATGTCACTGCGGAATAGAGAATACGTCATTGAAGCAATCAATCAGCGCTATTCCGCATTTGATGTTGCGGAATAGAGAGTGCGTCGTTATATCCTAAACTTTAAAGGCATCTAAACCGTGATCTTGTAATAAATCATCGTATTTTGAGAGGTAACTTGTAATAAACCATCGTATTTTAAAATAATTTGATGCTAATTGATATGATGAAATCGCGTAATGTTGAGACAAATGAAGCAAATTAACAAAATTTAAGTGCATAAATATAGATATCAAGATCAAAAACAATAACATATTATGTGCGATTTCAGCGTACTCTGTTCACACGTGAAAAAATGATAGTAAATGCGTTAAAGTAGTTCAAAAAATTGTTATGAGATTGTAAATATTAATTGTAAAATATTACAAAATACTACAAGTGATAATTGTTTTATAATTTAATAAATTATATTTCATTTTAATAAGCAAATTATAGCAAAGTTAGTAGTTTTTAAATTACATTTATGCTGGGTATATCTCTGACGCATCATGTGAACATAGCATACAAAACTTGCGTGATGGAAAAGTGCGAAATAGCGATTGGTTGCTTCAATGACACATACTCTATTCCGCAGTCCTATTTCGCACCGTGTAATTTCACCCTTAGAGCCAAGATACTACTGTCTCCAGATAATCACTACTTTGTTTCTTTATAATCAATAAGAAATTGATCGATCGCAATCGAATGTAAGAAGAATAATCGATAATGATTGGTCAATTTCTTACGGCATAGGGCTTAAAACTTAAAGGAATCCTAAAGTCGCCTATGTTACTGACTAAGATCCGAATGCATCAACGTTATTTTAATTTTAGGCGTGGCTTAAAACTCTCTCTCTCTCTCTCTCTCTCTCTCTCTCTCTCTCTCTCTCTCTCTCTCTGTCTGTCTTTCTGTTGGCTTTAAAAAAAGAAAAAGAGATTTTGAAACTTCGCTTAAAATCAAAATAACGTTGGTACAATCGGGTCTAAATTATGTAATTTTTATATAAAAATTACTTTTCTCTTTTTTTCAAATTCGAACAAATTCGAAAATCCTTTTTCAGGATTAATCTTTGGTTAGTTTCTTATAACTTAAGACTCCACGACCGTCGTACGATATTTATATAAACGAACCTTAAATCTTACTTACATTATGCATGACTTCTTTTGTTTTTAGGATCCTCTTAAGTTTTACGCCTTAAAATTTCATTATAGAACGCCACTTAAGAAAAATCAAAATTATGAAGCATTATGACGAAGGAAAAAAATGATCAAGACTATATTTCAGTCCGGCGACAATGCATAATATCTTCTAAACTTGCGCTTATGCATTTCCTCTTCGTAATCTTATATCCACTAGTTAGTCTCCGATTTCTCATACCTGCACGAAGTGATCATTTGATTCGTGGCCTCGGCGAAATGTGCACCGTCGACAAGTAAAAATCCGTTTTTGCGGAATGCACGTGGAATCGATCGCTGTTTCCTCATTTACCTCGATAATGGCTTCGTATTTTCTGAAATTTTCGGAAGTGTCGGACGAGAATAGCGAAAGATTATGGCGAGAAAGACTAATGTTCTTTTGTACTAGTATAAATTAACTTTAATCTCTCAGTTTAACTTACTTTTTTATTTTTTTTTAATTCCAAGGATTAGAAAAAGCTAAAAGTAAATTGAACAAAGATTTAAAGTTAGTTTACATTGGTAGTGGAAAAATGGACGTGAATATCGTTTGCTAAAAACTTTCTAAGATATTCTTTTAAAATGAAATTTATCTAAGTACGTATCCAAAAAAATTTCTAAATGAATATTTTTTTTTTTGTAAATTCCCCAGAACTAAGAATCACGTTTTGTATCTATTATTTTTATCACGCAACAACCCTTAAGGCTAGATTGAGATTGAGATTGGATTGGTATTTAACCAATCAGAAGAAAGAAATTTAATCTCAAGTTTAGTGAAATTTGCTTTTTGATTGGTTAAATTTCAATTCAATCTTAATCTTAATCTCTAATCTGATTATGCCTTTATAGAAATTTAATGTTAGTGCTAAATAATTAATCATTTATTTTGAGTATTAAAAATATATTAAATATTTTTAATATACTTTTAATACAATATTTTATTTAAAAATATATTTAAAATATACTTTTAATACAGTATTTTTTATACTGAAAATAAGTAATTAATTGGCCAGTATCAGTATTAAATTTCTATAGGGGGAAATCACGATGATTATTTAAAAAAAATGAAGCTCCGATTATACAGGAGTGGGTTTTGAATTTATTATAAATAAATTTATTAACAAAAACTGAAAATTCGATTAGAAGCTATTGTAAAAGCTATTGAATTTAATGTAGCTCTAATTATTTTACTTATTAAACGCCAATAGGGCAGATTGAAAGATCAAGCACGATGTCAGAAGCGCAGCTCTTTTTCTTTTTTCTCACGTATGTATTATCGCGATAGTACGCATTAACATATGTGTATTAGCAACGTAGCTTTTTGCAAGTTGAGTGTCACTGTGATAAGAGCCATCACGCTGCTTAAAACATTGCGTGGCTTGATCTGCACTCAATCGCTTGCGACTGAGAAAGAGAATATGTATGGTATGCCTCTAGAAGAATGAATGATCAATCAAAAACAATGAAATCCCGAAATTCGAAATGAACTCTGTTCCATGTACTGAGAGTCTGAAATATCGAGAAAACGCACTGTCTGCGAGATCGCAGAACATGTCTTCAAAATACTCTTGAAAAGAGAATAACTCTTCGATGAGAGTGAGTTAATCAGCAACGCTCGTGACCTCCAAGGCCATCACGTGCACATCGGGCGTAAACACACTGCATATTATTTGGAGAAATGGACGTACAGAAACGTTAACCATGCGTATATGTACACGCACAAGAGAACTCGTGCACAGTTCTTATCTCTCACGAGAAAGAGAAAGAAAGAAAGAAAGAAAGAGAGAGAGAAAGAGAGAGAGAAAGAAGTGAAAAAAAAAGATAACTCCAAGCTGCCGAGTCCAAACAATATAAGGACCAAGTATGAGGACCTTTTCCCCCTCATTCGTTTCAGAACATTGATAAGATTCTAATACCCATTTTTATCAATATTAACTTTATCTTAGTTCAATTTATCTTCATCTTTTTCTAATTCTAAGAATTAGAACAAGATAAAAAGTAAATTAAATCGAGATTAAAGTTAATGCTACATTAACGAGCAATCTTCAGAATTACACGTATCGAATTGTATCGATGATTAAAATTTTCTTCCTTCTTTTTTCTAAAAAATTTCGAGACGCAGATATAATTTTCTTGTAAATTTTCGCATGACGTCGGACGTAGAGACGCATACTCTTGATATTTATTCGCTTACCGTCCTTGATCATCCTCTGTATCACATTGACCATATCCTGTATTTCTTTGACGTGAAAATCATTGTCAGTATCTGATGGCATTCCGAAATCTGATTATTAACTGTCAAGGAGAAATCTATTCGATAAAATCGACTATAATATCGTAACGTTGATAGGTAAAACGACTCGTCCTTTCGATAAGTCTCGTAAGAAAAACGAAGCTTAAAGATTGACTTTAAATCATAACTGATGCAATCTTTGTGTAGTGTGTTGACTCAAATTTTCCAATAATCATACGAAACTTTTAGGCTCACACGTCTTTTTTTTTAATCGTCGAATTATATGAGCATTATTTTGATACAATTGCAAAATTTACAAAAAAGATGAAAAAAAAGAAAGTATTGGTCTGTTCTTTTCAATTGAACTTTTTGCAACGTTATCTTTTCTATTGTTCTCTCTACATTGGAGAATAAAGAAGGAAAGAGATGGACACTACAAGAAGTTCAGTTGAAAAGAATAGAATAATATCGAATAGTTTTTGAACGAGTTCAAGACTTCACGAATACCTTTAAAGAACACATTAGAGAGCGTAACGAAGCAATCTGGAAAGATAAAGAGTTTTAAAACTATTTGAGAATATAAAAAACAATATTTAATATAATTAATATAATTCGTATCTTTTATACAGTTTCCATTTTCATGCAAACTCTTCGATTACAAATGACATTGGTGCCACTTTGCATATGACCTTAGCGATTATACAGACCTT